GAGAGAGAGAGAGAGAGAGAGAGAGAGAGAGAGAGAGAGAGAGAGAGCAGAGGAAACATTGTTTTAATGATTACGATAAATCAAGAAGCAAGAAAGAAAAATTTTCGAAAAACAAATTGGTTTGATTTGGAAACAAAACAAAAAAAAAAAAATTTCCGGAAAAATTTCTCAGAATTTTATTGATTTTTTCGTTTTCGTTGTTTTCGTTTTCAATCATCCAATCAAACCAAAAAAAAATCAATCGATAAATGTTGTTGATTAAAATTACACGAAAAGGAAATTTTGTTTTTGTTTGGTGGATGAAATATTTGAAAAACAAAACGAACAACAAACGAAATAAATCAAATTTGAAGAATTGCCGAAAATAGAAAATTTTTTTCCCAATGTTTGCTTCAACTAATCATCGAATGATCAATGTGAACAAAAAGTGATTGGTCAATGGTTGAATTTATGATGACCAAAAAAATGAAATATTGAACTAATAAAATTGACAAACAAAAAACAAAAACTATAAAAAAATCTCTATAAATAAAGAAACATTTAATAAATTTAAACAACAGCAGAAAAAAAAAGTTTTTCTGCTTTTTGTTTTGCTTTTTGTATGAAAGAATCAATGCGAATCAATTCAATTTAGATTTTTGCAAACAACTTCGGAATCAAAAAAAACAAAAACCAAAAGAAAGAATTTGCTTTTGGCATTTTGTTTTTGCTTATATATATTTTCTTTTGGTCATTTTTCAACTTTCAGATCAAACAAACAAACAGAGAAATTATTATTTGCTCAATTCTGGTGGTCGTTCAATTGGTTGGCTGCTCAATTCTGATGGTTAGATGATGAAAAAAAGAAAGAATATTCTCTATTCATTCATTAAGAATTTATTACCATTTTCCATGTATGTGTGTGTGTAGCATGTTCATTTTACGATCAAATTACCGTCATTGTCATTTATCATAAACTAAAAAAGAAGCAGAAAGAAGCAGAAGAAAATGATGAAGATGAAACAAGCAACCAACCAAACATAATTGATAATTGAAACAAGCAAGCATAATCCATTTATATTTTTGTTTTGAAATCGATTTCTGAATTTTGTAATTTTTTGGAACATTTTGAAGTTTGGTTTGATGATTTTGGTTTGAATAGTTTTTTCGGATTCACAATTGATGATTATCGATTACCAAATTGATTTGGTAAATGTTTTTTGATAAAAACAAAATCATAATAATAATAATATATCAGAGTGATGTAGAAATAGTCGAAATTTACCCGCCTTCAAGTTGATCAAATCGAAATCGGATATTATTATCATTGGTTTTTATGAATGGGCGTCGCATCATATTTTGAGTTTTTGATGATGATGATGATGATGATAAATTTCTATTTGTACAAACATAATAATTATGGATGAAAATAGTCGAGATCATCATCATTCAGTGATGACGTATTTTTTGTTTCCCGAAAACTTTTTTTTCCGGTACCTTTTTTTTACTTTCCACGAAAACTTTTCAATTTTGTCGAACCACCACCACCAAATCGAACCAAAATAATGATCAATTGCTAATCAATCGATCGATGATTGATTACAAATCAATCTAAAATTTGATTAGTTCAAAAAAACAAACCCAAAAACTCGAAAAGAAATCCAAAATTTCGATTTAATTGATAAAAAAAAGATTGTCGTTTCAATCCAATGATGACGATAATGATAACGATATGGATTTATTCATTCATCATCATTGTCATCGTCATAAGTAAATATTGATTTTTTTTTATTGTCATTTTCCCAATAAAAAACAAAACAAAAAATATTGATTAATTGATTGATATCGATTCCCGATCAACAACAACAACAAATCAACAGAGAGAGAGAGAGAGAGAGAGAGAGAGAGAGAGAGAGAGAGAAAAGATAAAAAAACGCTATTCTTATGTAACGTAGAATTGGAAGTAAAGTAAAAAACAAACTTAATGAATAATAATGATAACCGACATACAAAATATATATCGATCACACACAGTTTTGGAAAACCAATATCTATCTGGATTGATATTTATCATCATCATCATCATAGGAATAAATTAGCTTTGGAAACAAAATATGGTCCTTGGAATAATATTGAAATTCTTTGCTTTCATAATGAATTTACATTTTGCTATTTTTTTTTTTTTTTTTTTTTTTTTTTTTTTTTTTTTTTTAATAAATTTTTTTTTTTTTTTTTTTTTTTTTTTTTTTTTTTTTTTTGGTTACGAAATTTTTTTATATTTTTGTTTTTTTACCCCTTTTCAAATATTCAGTGTTGTTGAATAATTCAAATGAATGATGATGATGAATGACAAGAAACTGTTTGTAAATTTTTAATGATAATAACACGGTGGTGGTTACCTGATGTGTTTGCGTGTAGACATTTTCGGTTTTTAATCATTGAAAATTAAATAAAATGATAATCTGAATGCACTACCGTAAACTAATTCCTAATAAAGATTAATCCGAAATTCTTGTGACAGGTGCATTTCAAACAACAACAACAACAATTTTTTTTTTCCAAATCCAAATGATTGTCTGATTTTTCATTCAAAATGGAAAATCACAGAATCCAGAATCCAGAAATAAAGGTTAAAATGACGACTACGGGGACAATCATATGACATTTGTCATTCAGAATTGTTTTTTTGGTTTTGAAATGACATTTGGAATGATAAAAAACTGTGGCCAAAACGTCATTCCCTTTTGTTTGAGTTTTGTGTTTTTATATATCCGGAATAACAGAATCTGAAATTGATTTTTGAAGAATTTTTGTTTTTTTTTCTAAAGAATATTCTTTATATTCTTATCGACATTCGGGAAATGATTAACTCTGTTCTGTCAAAGCAAAACCAAAATTTGAATTCCAAATTTTTCGGTTTTTTTTTCATTGTTAAATTGAATTGGATGTTTTTTTTCGATTGAATCAGAATTCTCAATTCTTGTTGGTTTTTCAAAGGAAAAAAAACATTTTCGGGAAGAAATTTTCCCGTCAAACACAAATAAAAAACAAACAGATAATGAAAAACAAACACACACAATGACTGATATTAATCGCTTGAATGAATAATCAAATGGTCAATGATCTAGAAAATGATTAAAAATGATGAGAAAAAATTGATAATCATACCATCATCATCATCATCGAATCATTTCAATGGAAGCGAGCATCAAGAATTCTTCTTTTTTTTCTTCTTCTTCTTCTTCGTTGTCTTTTGATCGAATTGGAAATATTTTGGATGCATCATTTATTTATATTGTAAATAATCTTTTCTTTTTTTCGTTGAAAATTATCATCAGGAAATAGGCAATGTGTAGAAACAATGTAATCAGAGAGAGAGAGAGAGAGAGAGAGAGAAAGAGAGAAATTCTATTGATAAATCTCATAGATTATCTTATATGAGGAGAGAAAAAAGTGAACAAAGATATGCCAACATCATCAACATTGTTGTTGTTGTTTTCGCAGAATATTCTGTTTGCTTTTTTTTGTGTTCTATAATGTTAATGATGAAATTAATTAAACATTCAACATCATCATCATCATCATCATTAAAAAAAAGTCTAATGATAATGATTATCAGAGGAGGAAAGAAAGGAAGAAAAGTTTCATTTATTCAAATTCAAGTTTCCAACAAACAAAACAAAAAACTTTGTTAAAAAAAATTATGTAAAAACCTAAATAAACACCAACCGTGTTGTTGTTGTCACCAAAAAAAAAAAAAAAAAAAAAAAAAAAAAAAAAAAAAAAAATTTAAAAAAACCAAAAAAAACCCCCCCCGGTTTTTTTTTTTCCCAAAAAAAAAAAAAAAAAAAAAAAAAAACAAATCAATTAACACATCACACCCACACACACACACCGAGAAATGTAAATAAAATGGCAAAAAAAGGGTAAATAAATTGGAAAATCTAATGATAATGATGATTATTGAGATGGAAAAAAATTCCCAAATATAAAAATAAAAATATCATTAACACTTTATGAAACATACTATGGTAGTGGAAAGGGGTTAACAAAAAATACATTTAATCTATAAAAAAAAGAAGCTTTTCAGGGATTCTTGTGTTTTTTATTTCATCATTTCAGTGCTTGTCAATATGGATTAATTTATCATCCCCAAAAAAAAACATTACATCTTTTAGGGATGATGTATTTTTCATTTTCATTGACATCTCACATCATCATCATGCATTTTATAGTGACATTTTTTATAGTGACGTAGGCGTGTTGTTGTTTGGTCACACTATTAACACTGTATGTGACATTTTGAAGAAAAAAAAAGCTTTTAAATTTTAATGAAATTTTTGTTTTTTTAAAAAAATCTCGCAACAACAACAATAAATTAATATCATTATTGATGAGAATTTGTTGTTTTATTTGAACCCTCCCCCCCAAAAAAAAAATCCAATTTTCAACATTTTAACTAATTTGGGTTGTTGGAATTTTTCATTTTCATTTTTGCTTCTTGATTTGATTAATGTAATGGGACAAGATTTTAAACAGAAAAAAAACAAAATTTCCGCATTTTTTCCACTTTTTTGAACACACAGAAAATAAAACCATATTTATGTAATGAAAAGCCAGAGAGAGAGAGAGAGAGAGAGAGAATGTCAATTTTTGGTTTCGGGGGGAAGGGGTTAAATAAAAAGATTATTAATTTGTCAAATTTAATTTTAATTTTAATTAATTTTTTTAAAATTAAAAAAAAATTAGCCAAATGAATAAATTACAACAATCAATGATGGATGGAAGTGGTGGTGGTGGTGGGGGAAAAAGTGGTCGAAAATATCAAAAAAAACCATCACCAATGTTACGTGCACGTACATTACCGGCTATTATAACACCAGCATTAAATATATTGAATGCACAATTAAATCAACAAAATTTAATGATGATGTCCAATCAACAACAACAACAACAACAACCGATTGATTATCAATCGATTAATGGTAGCCATCATCATCATCAGCATTTGGGTAAGTTTTTTTTCCTGAAAAAAAACTTTATCAAACATCATCATCATCATCATTTGAACTTTTAAAAATGATGATTGAAAATTTAAATTTAAAATTCTTGATAAACAAACAAACAGTGAGAAAAGACCGAAGAGTTTTTGTTTATTTTTTTACTTGCAAGAAAATCTTATTTATGTAAAAGTTTTTTTCAATGTTCAAAAGTTCTTTCATCAAACAAACAAACAAACGGAAAATAATTCTTTCGAAATAGACCATACATATCATTAACACTTTACACACATTCAGGGAACCAAAAAAAAAAAACTCTATCGTAAATATTTACTTTCAAACGAAAAAAAATTGTATAATTTTTGAGAAACAAAAAATTATTTGTTTTTCGTTCAGTTCAGGAAAGAAAAAAGATGCCCAGAATAGTTAATGATTTACTTTTCTTCAGAATTCAATGAACTTAGATTTATTAAAAAAACAAATCATTGATAATATCAGTGAATAATAACCCTCGAGTATACTTTTTTTCATTTTTCTAGGATCAACAAACGATAACCTTCTATTGAATGATAGTTGTTGTTGTTGTTGTTGCCATCATCATCCGCATCAACAACAACAACAACATTATCAATCGATGAATAATTGTTTGAATGAGTTTTTAACATCATCACCACCCCCGCCATCATCATCATTATCATCCGCAGCAAATGTAACAGTAACATTATCAAAATCATTACCACCAATGATTAATAATGATAATTATTGTCAACAACAACAACAACAATCATCATTATTATCAACAACAACAACAGCATCATGTTGTTGTTGTTGTTGTTGTAATTATTGTGAACAACAACAACAACAACAATTAAATGATAATAGTAATAATCATTCACCAAGACAATCAGTATCATCAAATTCATCGGCTGGTTCATCGAAAGAATATTCTAGGTAAGTTTCCGGAAAAATTTCTCCATTGTTTTCGGAAAAATTTCTTTAAAAAAACCTTTTTTTTTCAATTATTTCCAGCTCAAATAAAGGAATCAAGAATTCAAGTTTCCAGAAATTTTCCAAATTCTGGACAAATAATTATGGACAAAGAATATTATCAAGTTCAAGTTATGGTGGCAGTGGTGGTGGTAGCAGTAATGGATTATTAGGACCAATAATTAAAAATTCAACAACAACAACAGCAAATAATTATCTATCAGTTGGTCAATCATTAAATGATTATCAATATTATCAATCATCACAATCACAATCGCAACAAAATTATTCATGTTGGGCATGGACTAGTGGCAGTAGCAATAGTAGTGGTAAAAAGATGAACGAATCAAATAATTCAAAATCGATTATGATGAAACGAACAGGAAGTGTTGATAGTCTTTTGAGTGTACATCAACAAATTGAACAACAACAACAACAACAACAACAACCGAATTTTGAACAAAATGATATTATTCTAAATGAATCATCACCACCACCATCAGCATCATCATTTAATAATTGTCCACATCATCATCATCATCATAATCATTTACATCATTCACATCCGTATCATTCACATTCACAACATTCAAATCATCATCATCATCATTCGCATCAACATCAACAACAATGGTCAACATATCGATCATCATCGAATGCATTTTTAACGATGAATAATAATAATGAACAATCATCATTATCATCAACGACAATGGATAAAAGACATTTAAGTATTGATATAAATTCAATGATACATCAACAACATCAACAACATCATCATCATTATTATTCGAATATAAAAATGCCATCATCATTATCAACTATTTCAACATTAGCAGCAGCAACAACAACAACGGCTGCTGCAACAGCAACAACCGGTATTAAAAAAAGTGAAAGAAAAAAATTAGAAAAATTAAGTAAATTTAATTTCGATCAACAAGGTATGTTTGATAATGATGATGATCTTTTTTTGTAATTTTTTTTGTAATAATTTTACAAAACAAAAAAAAAAAAAAAAAGCATTTTTTTCAGCGGTTAAAAATGAACATT